GAGGAGGAGGAGGAGGAAGAGGAGAAGAGGAGAGGGAGGAAGAGGAGGAGGAGTAGAAGGAAGAGGAGGAGGGGAGGGGGAGGAGGAGGGGAGTGAGGTCCAGGCTTGGAGTTTGCACTAGAAAGCCTGTGCTCTTCCCTCAGGTGGCCTCCCTCCCCTTGGCTGTGCGGTCCCGGGGCTGCCCGGCTGCCCAGTGGGCCGAGGCCAGCCCTGTTTATGAGCAGGCCCGCATCCGGTCCCGGGGCTGCCCGGCTGCCCAGTGGGCCCAGGCCAGCCCTGTTTATGAGCAGGCCCGCATCCGGGCCGGGGTCTCACACCACCCCAGGCCAGTACAGAGAAGAACCATTCAGAAATAAGGCCTTGCCCCACCCCCCACCCACATTCTCCTGACATCAGTGAACTGATGGGGCTGGCCTACACCCTGCGGTTAACGATATTCCTCTCCAAGCTACTCAGTGCACTATAGTTCCTGCTTGGAGACTGCCCAGAGCTGCCCAGTAGCCACAAGCCGGAAGTGGTCTGTGGGTCATCACCTGGGGCAAATGGGAACCTAAGCCCACCCCGAGGTGCAGGGGGCCCCTCTGGAAGCCAAAGGGGCTCTCCAGACAGAAGGGTCAAAGTGTGGGCCCCTCTTGCTCCGGGGAGGGGCTGCAGACAGGGCTCCCAGGCGCCCGGGGAAGCTTCCTGTGGGGTTCAGGGATGAAGCTGGGCTGCTGGAGCCAGCAGGCACCCTGCAGCCACGGACAGGTCAGAGCCCTCCTGTGCTCAGGCTCAAGGTTTTGTGTTCTTATCAGGAAGGAATCAACTTAGGGGATGAAGACAGCTGCAAGCGGGTCTGCTGCCCCCTAGCCCGTGGGAGGTCCTGGGTTGGTCTCCCCCACAAACGCCTACCTCTAAACGGGGGGGGGGGGGGGGGGGGGGGGGGGAGGGCAAGTTGGTCCTCTGCTGCTGGGAGCTGGCCTCCAGGTTCCCGAGCCACAGCGTGGAGCCAGCTGCCTCTGTGGGGAGGCCTGGGGCACAGCTTGCTCTGCAGCCCCTGCAAGCCCCCATCCCGCAGACAGATCCTGCTCCCTGCTTGCCTTTTCTTTGTGCCAGTGCCTTACAGACAGACAGACATGCTGAACTGTGTGTGTGCTGCTTCATCTCCAAGACCTTGGGGTGCTGGCTGCCCACGTAGCCCCCCTCTCCTGCCCTCTGTGTGTGTGTGTGTGTGTCTTCCTTCACAGACAGCCTCACCTAGCTGGCCTGTGGTTCTCAGCCACTGAGGACAGCCTTGAGCTCTGGCATGTGGTCCCTTTCTACCCTAGGGGTGAGCTCCTTTTCTGTGGCTCTGACCACTTTTTTGCTGTCCTGTGGGCAAGCTAAGGGGAGCCT